TTTTTTGCATCTTTATCCTAATATCATTTTAAGGACACTTCATCCTTCCAGTATATTTAAGCTGCTTCGTCTAGCGCATTTCCGCTTCTCTTCATCTGACACATCTTTATCGCATGGGAGAGAGACCCTTTCCTCAGTACATCGCTGCCTGCAGATAACGGGTGTGGCGCAGTGCTGTTCTTATGTTGAATATCGAGGATTCAATCCAGCCAATGATATGCCCAATTCCTCTACAATTTTTTCATTCACTTCGATGGTAAATTTGTGCCCATGAGTCAGACCGGCCGTCGACTTGCTTCTAAAAAACCAGGGACAAGGAAGTAATCGATCGCACTCCAGCAATTGGTTTCTGTTGGTATTTGTTGGCAGTTGAGCTTTCTGCATAAAATAAATACAGAGATTCTTAACTTTTAACTTATTTCTACGTGCTATTTTCCTGTTATGCCACAGAACTGCTGCAGTAAGAGTAATATTTTTTACATTCGATTTTTTACCAAATTTTTAATTAATATCTGAAGGAGATTAGCCTGCTGCTCGAGTGATGAGAAAATGAAGAGGCAGGGTGTAATTTTAACGAATTCAAATCATACACTGAGATTAAATGTTTGCAGAAGACGGATCTGAGTAAGTATCTGGAGCAGCATAGCTCGGGGCTTGAACAAATGCAGGTGCGACTGTTTTTGTTTCAGTTACTTCGCGGACTTGCATTTTGCCATGCCAAAAAAATTTTGCACAGGTATTTTTCGTTTCTTTAATTACTATTAAGTAAAGCTTTAGGATTATTACAGGATGATCCGCAGCTAGATTCTTGCTGTTTACTTTAATTATCTCGCAATAATGAACGTTGAACAGCCTAAGGTTTATTTCTTAGGGATTTGAAGCCGCAGAATTTGTTGTTGAATGATAACGGTGAATTGAAATTAGCGGATTTTGGACTGGCTCGTGCAAAGTCGGTGCCTAGCCGAACTTATTCACACGAAGTAGTCACACTCTGGTTAGTTTCTATGACTCATTTTCCCTCGTTTGT